CTGGCACTTCACAAACTTGATTATAATTCTTTTTCAAAGCTTCTGGTTCCGAATGTGATGGTTCTGCATGCAATGTTTTTAGTCCTGAATTTGGTGGTTCTGAATGTGTTTGTCTTGAATGTGATGGAAGGTTTAGTTTTGAAGAATCTTTGAAAGGTGAACGAAATGGTGCAAAAACAGAACGTCGAGATGATGTTGCTGAGTTTTTTTGAGTTTGTTTGTAATTATTGTTAACCATAGCTTGTTTTTGAAAATTACTTGACGATTCAGTATAGTCATTTGGAGTTTGTTCATACGAATTACTTGAAGCCTCATTATTATTCAAAGGTTTCTAATAAATAAAATATTAAGTCGAATATATTATATATATATAAAAATATATATAAAGTCACACCTCTGTATTATTTAAAGGGACCAATCCAACATTATTAATCAGTAAAGATAGCGCATCTTCTCTTTGTTGATTTGATGGTCGTGCATAAATGCGATAAGATGATTCACTTCTGTGTCCAGTTAAGGACATTGTTGTAACCGTTGGCACTCCCTTTTGAAATAAAGATGTAATTGGTGTTGAACATCCAGAGTGATTGACAATATCACGACCATTAATGTCAATTCCAACCATAGTGCAAACATCTTTCATCAAAGATCTGCATGCATTTTCGCCTAATTGAATGTCGTAAAACCAAGGATCTTGTGCAAGATCTTTTGCTTCTTTATTAATGCGCAAATAAAGAGATTCACAACTTGAATTCAACGGTCTTTTAGAAAAATAAAATCTGAAATCATGCACGGGCCCTTGATAACCTTCCATATCAGGAGGTACGGGAATAATTAAAGCATCAGAATTTCCATCAACACCCCCTTGATCATTTTTTTGATGATTCTTTGAAAAATGAATGCCTCCGTTTGATGTAAAAGTAAACTGCTTAATTGAAATTTTATAGTGTTCCCCACCACGGGGTTGAAATAAGAGACAGCTCCACATAAAAATTCTATAAAGAAGTCCTTGTGGTGTATCAATTGAAACCTTCTCATGCTGAAATATCTTTTTTAGTTCATCATCCGTTAAATGATCATAATGTCGTGAAACAATCCCCTTTTTTTTTAATTGTTTTAATTTTCCATTTACTGCCTCCCACAGTTGTGCAAATTCTTGCCGATTTCCTA